AAAGGGAGGGCAAACTCACTTATTACATTCGACTCCAAAAATAAGCGTAATTAACGGCTTCATTGGTTTAATTTAAAAATTAGATTGAATTGCTTTATTTTATAGTTTTAAAATTTCAAGTTATTACAATAATTCAGTTATTAAAACCCCAGGTACTTATCAACAGACCTGACACACAAATATTTAAATTTAAATGAAGCACCTCCACAATGCAATTTTTGCTTTTACGGTAAAACGTTTCCTGACTCAGTCTATGAAATTTAAATCTAAAAGGCGAGAGTACTTTAACTGCGACTTACCGACTTTATGATTTTTAATTTGAGACACACCTCCATATAGCCAAACCATGGTTCTTGCGCCAAAAATTGACATCCATCCATTAAATAGTGAGAAAATGTGCTTTAAAGATGGTGTTTTGTATTAAACTTTATACATTCGTCGTAGTTAAAAAACTGAATCCAACTCATCATCTGTTGTTAAATTTCTATCAGAAATGTCCACACTGAATTAAAAGTTCACGATTACTAACCTTGAACAGCTAATTTATTTTTATTGTTCCTTTGCTTTTAAAATTCCTGAAGAAAACCTTTATTTTGTTTCATTCATTTATAATTTGCTTTGTTTAAACCATTAAAAGCAGATTTGGGGCAGTTTTAATCTAAACGTGATGGAGTTTAAAACGCATTTCGCAGGAATAAAATGGTTTTTCAAAACTTAAAAAAAATATGTCTTGTAGTGAATTACTTAAGTTAAGAATTCATTTCACAATTAATTTGTGAAAAATTTAAACGTATTCCTCATTATCTTCGAGTGCCATAATTGTAATCAAATTAATAATAACTATTTAACAAATATTGTTGAAGGTTCATTAAATATTTTCTACAAGCCTTTATTAAATATCTTAATTTATGTTAAATAAGCTTTAATCAATTGATTAAAAATATAGTATTTGATCAAAAATATTTGATTGAAAATATAGTATAAGTAATATTTTTATATCCTATATTACAATCTATTTTCCTAGATTCTCTGGAATTTTTTAAATTAAATTTTAACTGTGTTGAGGAGAAAACTAATTTTTAGCGGATTTATTTTAAGCTGAAAATGCAACAGCAAAACTTTTAATCAAAAAGGTTTTCGACTCTTTATTATTTCACACCCCGAGGAAGGTTTACTTTTAATAAACATCGATGCAAATTTGGTAGTGAATGCCCAGTCATTTATACTTAGCGAAGCTTAATTATTTGCTTCAGGTAAATGTTAGTGGAAGGTATTTAATGTCTGTCTGGATATTAACCGGTGAGTTAAGGCGATGATGAAAAAGAAGAAAAAAATGTAAAAGATGCTTAAACAGGACATATTAAGGTAATATTCTTAGAATAGTCGTTGCAAGGAAATAAATATTACTTAGTAGAGGTCAACGACACGTAAATAGATTTCTTTAGAAATAACAGTGAAGCAAAACTGTTTTATAATATTGACTGAAGAGCAATTAAGATGGGAGAAAAATAACTATTACCGAAAATTTAAAAACTATTTAGGTGCTTATATCACTATTTATGAAACAAATCACGTAAACTCAGCGATTCTGCGGCATTGTCGTATCAAATGCGTCAGAATTCGTAGAAGGGATTCGTACTTCGAAATGCGTCATTCTCTATAGAGACAAAAATAATATTCATAATATATTAGTAATAGTATAGTACACGAGAATTAGGTCGGTGAAATTGACCCAACTATTAAAAAAAATGACATTGATGCAAGTATTTGATTAGTTCTAATTAAAGACTTAGAAACTCTTTTCTTAAAATTCTTTGCTTTGTTCATCAAAAAATAGGATCCATATGATATTAATAAAAAGATACAAAGGGTAAAGAATTCGTAGTTTGTTTTTCTTTTCCACTTTTGAAATTATCTTTTCGTTCTTTTCTGAACTGTTTGAACACATTATTTGAAGTACAAATTTATATTCAAGCGCAACTTCTTACTTTTTGAAAATTTAAAATATATTAAGTGATTCATATTAATTTAAATAGAGACCCGATTTTCGTAAAAAATGACCTGAAATTTCTAAATTGAGTACTTAAGGATCCATAGTTTCCTAAGTTTAGTGGAATCTTTGAAAACTCAATAAAAACTTTCTTCAATATCTTTAACTCTTTCAGGGGTGGGGGGATTAAACAACGTTATATATTAAACAGCGTGATTTTTAATCCACTACTTTTTATTTTCACAAAAATAAAACAAATTGCTGCATTTTGGAAATGCGTACGCTGACAACAATTCACTTGGTTTTCCTTTTCTAAAGTTTTTGATTTAAATTTTGTGTCCCAAAAACCGGCTAAGAAGTGTTGCTTTGCGATCTTTAGTTTTATTTTCACTTGCAATGCTTGGTTTTGCAATACTTTAAACGACGCACAATGAATATAATATTCTACTTGAATGGGATCAATTAAGTCCTCATAAGTTATAGTATAAGATGTGATAAATAGCCAATTCCGTTTATTATTAGATGCTTTTTTTCTTCTTTTTTTCAGGAAATCAACTCGATTTATTTTAAAGAAGTTTGATTGCAGAGATAAGAATTATCTTCTATTCAAGCATATGAATTTATAAGATGGCGCTAATAATTTCCAGGATTGATTTAGTAACTCCAGAAAATATCATGTGAATTACATGCTCATTTAATATGCTTCGAACTTAACTCCACCTCATATTATTTATTTCTGCATAGAAGTATAGATGCAAAGAATAATATGCATCGAACTGTATAAGAGGAGAATTGACAACTCCCCTGTTGTTTTATTCTTCTCAAAATTTAGAGATGTATCTATAATTTTTTACGGTTTACGACTACTAATGTTCAACACCGTAGCCTTATAATTTTGAACTCGTATCGACCAGTTATCTCTGAGGTTCGAACCCGGTTCACCTCATTACAAAGCAAACTCTCTATCACCTGAGTCCTCACGGCTCATGTATCTATAATTAGAATACTTTGACCTGCTGTTGTTGTTATTGTCGTCGGCCATTAAGACAGAGGGGGTGCGATTGTTCTTGTTTTTCAGTGGCACCATCTATGACCAATAATTCGACTTCCGCCACATTCATATGTCACACCTGTTTATAGGGCGGACCCCTTCATTCATCCGCAGATCGCAATTTCGACCTGAACCAGAGTATCAATCTCCGATTCAGTACTCCAAAGGTATAATTTGCTCTGGGAGCATGGACTACTTTGTGACACGATAGATTAAATGTGCACAAGTCACCATTTACTACATGCGAAGTCTTCGGCAGGTTGAATTCGAGCTCCCGCTCTCACGAACATGAGTCCAGCGCCCTGCCAATCTCGGCCTATTTTGACTTGCTCATTTATTATGAATGAGCAAGCTCAGTTCGTATTTTGTTTGCCTTATGCTAACAATAAATAAGAACTACCGCTGACATTGATTTTTAGCAGCTTCATAGTAAAGATTATTCCATTTTATAGTGAAAAATATCTGTATTATTATGGAATAATATAGAATTTACAGTGGAATAGTATTATAGAACGATAGTATTATGCTCATATTTTATTTAACTATAAATTCGGATGCTTTGATCCATACATTTATAAGGAATAAATTTATACGTTAAAGGAATAACAATAAAGGAATAAACAAATAAAAGATGAATAAACAACCTCTGTTTATTTTTCGCTTAACTAACGATAACAATAAACAAAAATGATTTCTGGTGTAGTTCTTAGGAATCTTAATGTGAAAATTATTCTATTTAATAAGTAGAAAATTGAATCGAAATGTAGTGGAATTGTATCCTGCTAATAGTTAAATAGTGCTTACAAAGTGTAAAGATGACAGCAAAGGATCTGTTCACATTTTATTTCTCTCGTCATTCAAAATGAAAAGTGTTCAATTTTCGTTTCGATATTCGTATTATATTGTAATAGTCTCTCTTGTTCATAATATAAACAGTCATTTTAGGTGAGGATTCATTTTACAGCTGGAAGGACAAATCACTGTTTGTCTCACTCATGATAATGACACATAAGAAGTACAACAGTAGACTTCTCAAAGCAAAGAGTATTCCATTTTGTTAGCATAAAATGCCTTTTATTGAGTGGAAATATATACTTAATTCACGATAGAATAGTTTCCGTTTTATAGCGGAATAATATTTCTTATCGGATTTATTTTATAGTGTAATAATAACTATTTTAAAGTGGCACATTATTAGGTTTACAATGATATAGTATTCGATTCTCTGTGGAACAGGGTTGATTTTAAAATGGAAAATAGGAATGGCATCTATTTCACAGTGTAATAGTTGCCATTTCATACTGGATAAGAATTCATTAAGTTAAAAGTATTCAATACAACTTATTGCGTTTTTTATTTTGTCCGACTGTATCAAATGTTTATAGGGTATTTCGTATGTTATTATTTATACTAATGTTTTTCACGCAATATATTTGGAAGTAAATTATTTTTATATCAGGATTGGAACTAATGTGAAAAAAATTACTAATAATTGCGTCTTTTCATGTTAAACCTAATATTCTATGAAATAAAGACCTTTTAATAAGCCCCCATTCATCTCCTAAGTAGTGCAACGAAGATGGAGAGGGTACTACCGTATACTAAGAACAAAAAGATTCAGTTACCCAAATGTTGAAAATATTTTATGGACTCATTATGTAGAAAAAAAAGGGAAAACAGCACTAACATGTACATAAAAGAAATGTCCAAAGCCATGAGTGCTTGGTTTGATGTGACACTGTTTGTCCTGAGGACACATTACCAATGATATAGCATGAAACGGACTTTCTGAACTAATAATTTTGAAATATCTTCACTATTTCAGCAAACTGCAAACTAAAAGAATACTTGCAGACTTGAGAGACACGAGTTTTTATGAAAGGCGAACGAGTCATTCGATTTTGAGCTTTATGTGTGCCAGTTTGAAAAAGAATAGGATGGGTGAATGGGCAGTCTTACCTGGCCAAGTCTCTGGAATATTTTCTCATGGCCGGCGAGTCACGTGTCTTCGAGAGTCCTAAACTATTGACGGAAGTGTCTCTGAGGTGTATCCTGTCTGCTGTCATGTCCGTGAGGGAGGATCTCCTGGGATAGGTTGAAGAACCCCGGAAGAGCGCTGAGCTTCTGGTGTAAGGAGAGGAACTATAGAGACCGTCCGTCCTCAAGTGGTCGTCGATGGATTCGAACTCAAACGATTTGAATGGCATACTACTGCTGGGCTGATAAAATTTGTACCTGGAGAGGGGGTCATCCTGTCACACACAAAAGAAAACAAGAGTAATTAGAAAGGGGTTAAAAATTATATTTGAAAGAAAAATAATTCCACAATTATAATATTGGAATAAGTTTGAATGTTTTCAAAATCCCACTTAACATGTTTACACTTAACGCAAGAAACTTGGGTGTCACATAGAAAGATGAATTTGGTTTTTAATCTCAATTATCATCATAAAGCTAACTGTCATTTTCTGAGAAGTTGCCATTGTAAAGGCATATTTTTAAAACTTGAGAAGCAAAAATGAGTCGAAATATTATTCAGTTACTCTTATGAACTTTTATTATTTGATTTTTGGAATTCAATATTTATTCAATACCTTTATGACTTGTAATCAATTTTATGCTGATGACAATGATGCCAATATGGAAAAGAATGAGGAAAAACTGGATCCTTCCACGTGATTTTACGCACGTGATAAAAATGCACTGACAAAAATGGAAAACTGCGACACCATCATTAAATTTTTATGTATAGTAAGAAAAAAACTAGCTAAATTGGTAAAAAAAATAAAATCGACATATACAATGTAAAAATACCTCTCAATCAAATTCATTTTGGAAAAATTTAAGAGCTACAAAGAGTTTAGAACCTGATTTTGAGGGAAATGCTTGCCTGTCGCAGTTTTACCAAATAAAATTCTTCAACGAGATTTAGCTATAATGAAATTCATTTAATGAAATAATTAAAAAAGTTTAATTTAATTATAAGATTTAAGTTCACAGGGGTCTGTCCAGACATTTTGTGAAAGGTCCGGATTTTGTGAAATTGTGAAAAAAATTACTCACATTCTTTCAACCAGGGTCCTGCTTTTATGAATTTGTTCAAATAGGGTCCGGTTATTGCAAAAAACTTTTTCAAGGAGTTTTTAAATTGTAAATAGATACAAGATTATGCTCAGCACTGTAAAATTATAATAAAAAAATTAAGTTTTCAAAAATAAAGAGTAATTGTTGCTTCTATATTAGAGATGCAACATACAAATATTTGGTATTCAGCCTATACTGCTGAACGCAGAGTATTCATTTCGGATGAATAATGGTAGAATCGTCTGCCGAAGACAAAACTTTATTCGTTTACATCCAATCTTTCTTGTTTTCTGCCCTGGGAAGAGTTTATTCAATTAAAAAAACAATAATGAAGATAAACAAATTTGTAAAGGGTCCGATTAAAAGAAAAATCATTTTGTGAAGGGTCCGTTCTTAAGTTAAAATATTTTGTGAAGGGTCCCTTTTTATGAAAGGATATTTTGTGAAGGATCCGTTAACGGACCCAAATTTCTTCTAAACAGACCCCTGGTTCACCAAAAAGAAATTCATTAAAGAGCTTAACAAAATGATTTATCTAACAGATTTAGCTTCGCCAAAGGAAATTCAGCTAAAACGCTTAGCTTAACGAAATGATTTAACCTAATAAACGGATTTAGCTTCAAATGAAATCAACTTAAGAGTTTTAGCTAAAACAAATAAAATTCACCTAACGCATTTAGAATTTTTCAAATGAAGTTAAAAGGTATTTAATTTAATCAAATGAAATTCATCTAAAAGGATTAGCCTAATCAAAAGATATTTTGCTGTACTAAATGAATTTAACTCCAGAGTTCGAAGTTTACTAAAACAATGAAATGAAATCACTCATTTTTTTCCTAATATTAATTTTCCAACTGCTAATAGTTTTATCATAATTAATTTTTACTAGTTAACTATAATAAAGTTGAATGGATTCATTGAAATATTAGGATTTTTCGGGGAACGATGTGTAGCTTTACTTTTCGGTTTCTCATTTCGTTATGAAAATAGTTTCAGCTCATATAACTCCAGGTTGCCGATGAGAAAGTTCTTTTTTTCCCTTGAAAAAGTAAAAGTTTCAATTTTGAAACTTCATGAATAGAGAGTAAAAGAAACAAGACACCAAGAAGCTCTTCTACATTTTCAAAACTTGTTTCTTTCCTTTCGAAGCGTAAAAGGACCGATGCATTCCGAGATTCTATAATTTTTTCTCTTCCTCTCTTCCGCTTCTTCAATCTCTTCAAAAAAAAGAAGAAAAAAAAGAGAATTTTCTTCTTTCCACTTCGATAAAACACTTCTGACGTTGAATTAGATTGTAGAAGAATTTTTCAAAGACGTCCAAAAAGGGTTTCTGTATGTTGAGTTAAGCACGTTGTCGGCCATCTTGGATTCCGGAGCATGCAATTCGCGCATATGGTAAACAAAAATGAGCCGTTCTATTTTTTTATCAAACGTGAAGAAAAAAAAGAGAGAAGGATTGTTTTGCATTCTTTAAAGAAACATTTTGTAAAACTTTTTAAAATAATTTTTAACATTATTTTCTAATGAGTTCAAAACCGACTTGGAATAGTAGTGATCGGAAGTAGAGCACAACAACTACTGTAGTCGCTACATTTTTGTAGTTTGTAGTGTAGAGTGTTACATTTTTTTTTCAAAAAAGATGCAGTGAGTAGTACGATACAAAAAAAAACAGTAGCTTGTAGCGATTCTTGGCAACTACTTTTTCAGGTTAGCATAATAAAGAAACAGATTTCTAACATTACTAATTTTTCGAATTTGATGGGCAGAAATATTCGCGGGTCTGACAATGGATGCAATTTAAAATCCCAAGAATCGCCCATTTAGAGAAAAGTATCGCTCATGCAAACATGAATAAGTATTTCTAATTAATTCTTCGTGTTTAATGTAAGTCAATTTTTTTTCAAATCCATTTTGATCATACGTGTTAATTAATTTCTCGAGCAATGATCGGTTTCGTAAAGTAGTGAGTATATCTCGAAAGTAGTTTGTAGTTAACTACATTTATAAAAAAGTAGTTGTACTTAACTACATTTGTAACAAAGTAGATTCAGTCGTAAACTACAAAAATAATGTAGTTTTTCTGACCACTGGTTTAGAACAACAATAATGAAACTAGAAAAACCACTTTAAAATGAACTGTACTGAACTGAAGTTTACTGTACTGTTTTTTAATTTATGTTACACCTGGCGTTGAAAAATCATCCCATTTCTGGGTTTACGATTATCAATACTCAACTCCGTATCTATGTAATTTGGAGAGCTGAGAAAACAAGGGAACTCTTGGGTCAAGCATTTGGAACATTTACGGAAGAATTGTTTTTTTACTGTGATCAGGACAATGAGCACAGAGAATATTTTACGTCATCTCTGTGGTCGGTGTGAGCCGGGTGTGGCATTCGAATTGACCAGTCATCGCATTCGAACTCGGTTCACCTCATTAGGAAGTAAGCGTTCTATCCCCTCAGCCACCACGGCTCCTAATTATCAACCTCAATGCTTTTATTATGATAATTGTGGATATATTTGCAACATTTGAGAGAAAGTATTTTGACATGAAATAACCATAGAGACTTCGTCACATAGAAAGATGAATTTGGT